TCTGAAAAGAATTATTTAAGGATGTTGTGGACAGAAAGCCAAACAGATATTCCAACTCCCAGGGTGCAATATCGTAGTGTAGTTGAGCGCCGACGTTGCTAATCTCCCTTTCTCTAGCTTTTCAATTATAGGGAGTCCCTAGTACGGATAATTGTTAACACAATTAACTGTCTTCACAGGTACGGCTCTGTTGTTGTCCTCGAAAACCTCCGTGGCTGTCGATTATAACTGTTTGTCCTGTGATTATGATGACTATCACGCTTTAATGCTTCATGCTTATGACTGTTATGCTTAATCAGACGCAAATAATCAGTGTTTCTTCATCACGAATTCGCGCAATAATGTGCCGAGTTTGCAGTACTACACCTTTTCCCGTGCAAGTGGCAATTTTCGCGCGCGCCCAAGAAAAACTTCCAGAATCCCAAGAAATTCCAAATTCCCAAGAAACTCAAGAAACCAAGATTTTCTAGGGAACAGGTCTTAAAATAGCCACTAATGCATATGAGGGCCACAAAATGGATCAGAGCAACCATCTAAGGCCTGGTCGGCTTGATACGTGGAGCTCAGAAAGCCGCTTTTTCAATAAATATGGCTTTCTCCACTTTACGTGAAGTGTCCAACCTACGTAATGGTCGCCTGGAGAATGTCAGTCCATTGCACGAACTATTCGAAGTCCTAACTGACTCGTCCTAGCTCGAATACGACTCTGTGCTCTCGCTTCCGACCGATATTCAACTCTTCCCCGGGACACAACGCCAACTAGGCTGAGCCAAAGCTGCTATTCCTGCCCACTCCGATCCCTACTCATGCCCACTAGAGCGACACCTTGAGTTAGCATAGTGTAGGCCCATTCCCGATCGGCTGCATGTCAGTCCATTGCACGAACTATTCGAAGTCCTAACTGACTCGTCCTAGCTCGAATACGACTCTGTGCTCTCGCTTCCGACCGATATTCAACTCTTCCCTCGGGACACAACGCCAACTAGGCTGAGCCAAAGTGACTGTTCGGGGATCAAATCACAAATCGGGGTTCATTCCCCACCTTCTCAAGCTTCCCAACAGCCTAGGCTTGACTACGATCAGGAGTCCAAACGGCTGCGCGGGCTCGGCTTCCAGTGTTATAGCGAAGCTGAGCACTTCGTTACATCGCTTGGAGGCATGCAACCTCAGGATCTCCTGAATGGTATCGACCATACTATGCTGAACCACGAGCAGAATCGAGTGTATGAATTTGTCGAGCAGCTGCTGCTCACGTCCGATGAGGAGGGGTCCCTTGAAAACGCCTTTATTTTGCACGGCGTCGGCGGTACTGGAAAGTCGTTTCTCATCAAGTGTCTGGTGAAGTTGTGCCTTTCCAAATTTGGTGCCGGGAGCTGCTTGGTTATGGCGCCGACTGGGAAGGCGGCATCTATTCTACCGTTTGGAAGGACACTGCACTCTGCACTAAGGCTGCCTGTTCCACTGGTGGAATCTGGATTCGAACCTCTAGCTGCGGAAAGTCTCACAAATTTCCAAGATGAGATGGGCAATATGCGGCTCGTGATAATCGACGAGTTGTCTATGATTGGCTGCAGGTTTTTAGCGGCCATAGACTCTCGATTGAAGCAGGCTCGACCGTCCTCGTCGTCCAAGGCCTTTGGTGGGTTTCCTGTGATACTGTCCGGGGATTATGGCCAACTCCCACCAGTGCTTGATAAACCGCTGTTCTCAGAGCCTAATGGTCATGAGTCTATGATGTGCAGACAAGGCCGGTTGGCATTCAGCACGATCCGCCGTGCGTTTTTCTTGGATGAAATCGTCCGGACAAAGGAGAGAGACTTCCAAAGTCTCCTCCTCCGTGTCCGAGATGGTGTTCAAACACCCGAGGATCTCACAGTGGTTTTAGCTCGGCAGCTGCACCGGCTTCCTGCAATCGAGAGGCAGAAATTTCAGGCTAGCATCCTTCTCTGTTCCACCCGTGGTCGAGCAGCGGAGGTCAATGAAGAGTATCTACATAGAGAACCTGGTGGATCGGTCGTATTGACAGCAACCCACTCAGGACGAGGGGCTGCCTCTCATTCTGATGAGCTTGCCAAGGGATTACTGCCACGCGTAGAGCTCAAAATCGGGTCGCCGGTCATGCTAACTGCCAACCTGGGCAAGGTTTTCGGAGTTTTTGCGAGTGATGCCCATGACAATCTACCGGTGGTACTTGTCGACTTTCCCGACTATGAGGGTCCCCCGTTGAACCCCAACTTCCCAACTGTAGTCCCTATCCCTGCGGTTACTCGTACGTGGCATAATGATGGGCGTGTGTACTCGAGAACTCAGGCTCCTCTGGTTCTGGCATATGCCACAACTATATACAAATCACAAGGGAGCTCTCTCTCTTGCTACACAATTGACTTTGGATCAAAAGAAATCGGTACCGGGTCCACTTACGTTGCTCTATCCCGCGCCCGCTCATTATCAAGTTTTGTTCTGGATGTCGCCGATCAACGAAACTTGAGACTGGCGAGATGGAATAGAGTTGGAAAAGGGAAGGGTATTGAAGAAAGACGCGCCTTGGAAGGCCGACTACGGGACATGGCTACTGGTTAACTCCGCTGAATATCTGTTCCTGCTCCATAATAAATGTTTTTAAATAGATGTTACATGTAACACAACTTTTTGCTTTTAGTCATCCAATTTCCAAAATAATTTCAATAACAGCCCGCTGAATTCTTGATAAGAAGCTCAGCGAGCTCCGCCCCTTCGCACCGAAGACCTAGTTACAAGATTCTTAACGCCGCGCTTCGCGCGGCGCCGTTTTCTACCGTTTACATGCACTTGCACTATTTTTTATTAGGTGGCATCGGTGAAATCCGGTGACACTCGGTAATTATTCCCATACGAACATCACAAGTCGCTTCATTATTGGTTGCGATCGGGGTGGCTATATGAGCCAACATCAATCCTCACGTTCGCAGGTATCCACTTGTGTCCACTTGAATGAACCCATCAGAGAGAAATCTCGCACCAGCACATTCTGCGACATAGCCCTGTTGATGCAG